TATACATATGTGATAATCATCTAGTACAGTGGTGCTATTATTACTTTAAATAGTTTTCTTTTAGATCAATTAATAATAAAAAAATAAAATATTGTATTCTATTTTGATTTATTAATTCTCCAACATTCTTCCTTTATTTATGTAGATACAAATTTCTGACCTATGTAATTTTACTTGTCCCTAAAGAACTTCTTTTAACATTTCTTTCAGGACAGGACTACTGGTCTTTAATTTTCTTAGAAAGTCTTTATATCTTCTTAACTTTTGAAGAATAATTTCACTGATCATAAAATTCTATGTGATGTTTTGTTTTGCCTTTTTTTCCCCTCCCAACACTTCAAATATTTCACTCCACTCTCTTCTTGTTAGATGGTTTCTGATGAGAAAAACCAAAACCAAACCCATTAGCACTGAGTCGATTTCCGACCCATAGTGACCCTACAGTTGGCTATAATTCTTTTTCTGGCTACTCTAGAGGTAAAGAGACACTCCCAGTTTTATTAAGGATTTTTTCATTGTCTTTGTTTTTACAGTATTTTAAATATAATGCCCCTATGTGTAGATTTTTTTGTGTTTATTCTGCTTGGTGTTCTCTGAGCTTCCTGGATCTGTGGTTTGTTGTCTGTCACTAATTTTGGGAAATTCTTGATCTTGATTGCTTTATTATTTCTTTTGCTCCAGTGTCTCTTCTTCTTATGGTATTGTTATTACACATATGTTACATTTTGGAAGATTGTCTCAAAGTTCTTGTATGTTCTGTTGTTGTTGTTGTTTTTTTTTCTCAATTTATTTTTTGGTTTGAGAAGTTTCTATTGACATATCTTCAAATTCACTAATTCTTTCTTTGGCCGTGTCCAGTCTACTGATGAACCCGTGAAAGTCATTCTTTATTTCCATTAATAGTTTTTTTAGATTTCTTTTTATTCATTCTTAGAATTTCCATTTCTCTGCTTGCATTGCCTGTTTGTTCATGCAGGTTGTCTACTTTATCCATTAAAACTTTTAACATATTGATAATAGTTATTTTAAATTCTGTTTGTTAATTCCAACATTTGTCTTCTGAGTCTGGTTCTGGTGCTTGCTTTGTCTCTTCAGACTTTGTTTTCTTGCCTTTTGGCATTCTTTTTGTTGTTGTTGTTGTTGAAAGCTAGATATGCTGTATCAGGTAATAAAAACTGAGGCCAATAGACCTCTAGTGTGAGGATTTAAATTAATCTGGATTGTATTAACATAAAGTTTTGAATGTTTGCTTTAATTGTAGGGACCAGAGGCTTCAAGTCCTCTAGGGTCTTTGATTTTGTCTCCTCTCTTGACTTTGCACTTCCCTAAGTACTCCTCCTTACAGAGTCAATATCTTGAAGCTCTTTCATTTTAAATCCACTGCTATTATACTGCACCCCTGTTGGTGTGGTGGTATGGTGTGAGGAGGGAAAGTATTCTATAATCTTATGATTAAGCCTCAGTCTTTTAGTAGGCTTTTGATTCTGAGCTGTGGCCTACAAATTGTTTTCCCACTGGTATAGGCTTTGTTCTGCCCTTAGGTGAGACAGAAAGGCTAGCAGTGGCTAATGGCAATGATGCCCTTTCCTTATGTAGGATATGGCTTTGGTAACATCTTTTCCTTTGAAAAGTAGGCCTTTGTTATGTTGAATGTTCTAGGTGTAGTTCACTTGATTACTCTTTGCTTCCTCTTGCCAGAGGCTCTTTCTTGGATCTTCACCATGAGAAACTGGTGTAGTTCTTAGAGGTAAAATCCACAAAGTTTGGCAGAGCTCTTAAGACTGAAGCTCCAAGAAGTACCTCACTCTTGTGCTAGTCTACACTAAGCCTCCAGAAATTAATCATAATTGCCTTTTAAGTGTTCCTACTAGCTTATGGCTCCAGTGATCTCTGCTCCAGGTAAGCAGATCTCAGCTGTAATATTGTACATGCCTATCTTTCTAGATTTCAGCCTTGCAGTTTGTCCTGCAACCTCAGTTCTCTGAAGGGTCCAAGTGAATTTGTTGATTTTTAGTTTGTTTAGTTTTTCCTTGCTGTATCAATGGGAGTGATGACTTGCAAGGTCTTTACTTGTTACAGTTGGAATTAGAAGTCAATAATTTACTGTCTGTCTCCAATTGGGGAGCCCAGAACCTTTAAATCCTTGTCTGTTTGCCATGTGGCATGTATTCCTTGTGTCTTGTAACTTTCAGTTGGTCACAGAAGAAGGGAAACATTTACCTCTGGAGCAAAAAGGTAAAACTCAGTCGAATTGAGAATATGCTCAATAAAAGCAGGATAGATTGTTAAACGAATTGTCAACACTTCTTCTATGCAAGAAACTTCCATTTAAAAAAAAAAGTTCTAAGTTAACATTTTTGGAATGAAGCAGTTGAGAACATGGAATCTTTCGTTCTAGATATTGATAGAGTACCTATTATATGCCAGGCTCTGTGGAAGCTGCTGGGGATATAAGGGTCAGTAAGATGGATGACTTGTTGCCCATATTGAGCTTAAACTTTAAGGATGGATACAAAATTACAGTCTCTTTAATAGCATGATTTGGAGGAGAATCTTCAGGTATGGAGAAAAAGTATAACTAAACCCTGGGGCTAAGTGATAACAAGAACTGAAAAGAAAGAAAAATCTCAGCATAGATGGAGCATGGAATAAGTGTGAGTGAGTCATAGCAGGAAATAAATGGCACATTCAAAAAGTATAATTGAAGATGATTTAAGGAACTGCTTTCATAGATGTTGTCAAGGTTAATGGATAACATCAGGAGTTGGTTAAACACTTACCACTTCACCTGAAGGGACATGGGGAGGGAGTGGTTACCAAAATTAGAGGAGAGTTATAACTGTAGGAATGAGTGACCAGAGAGGAGATTTGATCCTCAGTTGAGCAATGCAGCCTCTACCAGTCACCGAACTGACAGGAAAAGATCCAAGGGTGTAAATCTTTTCCTGCTCTATGATGTCATGTATTTGCCTATCATTGGCTGAACATAAACAGAGACAAGAGGTTTCAGGCAGTCCACAGAGTTTAACCTTCTTTAGAACAAAGCAAGGTAGAGCAAAATGGAGAGTGAAACCGGTGGGTGTAAGGTAGGGTAGCAAATTGATATTATAGAGCATAGTGCAGTCAGTTTGCCCTTCAGCATTCATTCTTGTTTCTTTACCTAGGTAAAAAATTGTGTTCCTCATAGAGCAGACACAAAAAACCCCATCAGCTGATATATCATCAGAGTAGCGTAAATTAAGTCACATTTCCACATGAAGCCCAAAATATTTGCCTCACTAATGCTATCTGTATTATGTTAAAAGAGGAGGGGAGAGGCATTGAAAAAGCAGTTAATTAACAAAAATTATAGATGCAAATTCTCCACTTCTATAGCTGCTGTAATGCCTAAATTGAAAATCAAACTCCTTGTCAGTACTTCCTTTGGATGGAGTCCAAACCATTATCTCACAGCAACTGGGTGGTCCTAATTGTATTGGATTGCCTCAGTTTTCTACAGACTAGTATGATTGGTTAAGAGAAATCCCAGGGAATCTTTTGAATTTCACTGAATTCCCTGGTTTACCTAATTTTCTTTTAGTAATCTGGGTGAATCATCCGAGTTGGTAGCATGAGGAGTTCCAAATGGCAAGAGGAAGACTCAGCTTACAATTTAACAGAAACATGACTGTTTTCCCAGTAGAGACAGTTTTTACTTGAGCACTAAAACTTCCAAACCCACTGCACCCAAGGTAATCAGGAAGGGAGGCAAAAATCCCATAAGTGGTACATGTTATAATGAGAAGGATTCCTTGCATTAGCATCCCTTGATTTCAGAACTTATTCATTCTGACTGTGGGTAGACCTTCTCCTACTCTGTGATGTCCTAGAGCCTATCATTGGCTAAACAGAAACAGAGGCAAGAGGGTTCAGGTGATATATTGTCCACAAATTTAAGGCATATGCTGCATCTTGCAGAACAACACTCTAATCCTGGGTTCCACTAGGAATAAATTGCTGCCTGTTTCATGATGGAAATAGATTCAATATAACCAACCTGCCACCAGGTGGATGGTGGTTTTATCTAGGTGATTATGCTCTATTCGGGCTTAGTGTTGGCTTCTACTATTGGCAGTTTGAGCACTCAGCAGTGGCTATAGTGTGATCGTCCTTAGTGAAGAAAAGTCCATGTTGTTGGGTCCAAGATTAGCCTCCGTAGATGTCATTGTGGCCACCTTTAAAATGTGTACATTGATAGGAAAAGAGGCTGACTGACATTTGGCAAATGGGTCATCTTGTCCACCTCCTTTTTAATGGATGCCTTTTGGTAGACATTTACATGAGATACAAATATCTTCATATTTTCTGCAAATTCTAAGGAACCCATCTACATACCTCTTCCCAAATCTTGTGCATCATCAGTCTTTCAATCTTGCTCCAAGTCCCTGACCATAAGTTACTGCCCATAAATCAATGTATACCTATATCTCAGGTCATACCTTAATCAATGAAACTGGACAATCAGATTGTCCTGCTTGAATCCATACAGGGAGGATTGCTTTTCACCATTGTTTTTCAGAGTCAACTCTGAGTGGGGCTATAGGGCAGCAACTGTCATCTTATATCTGATGCCAGCATAGTATGCATACTTCTCCATAAACCAGGTGCATGCATTTTCATCCTCTGCTAACTGGTCATACATGTAGGCTGAGGAAGAGATAGCAACAGAGTAGAAATAAGTACAAAAGGAACCTGAATGGTCTGCCCATGCAGTCTATTTGTAACTTATGGACCTTCTTAGACTTGGTCTTATGTATATTATTTATATTTGACAATTGAAAATTGCTATACCATCTGATTTTATGATTCAGCAGTCAATCAGATAACATCCAACTCCTGAAGAGCAGTTTGGACTGCAGAGTCATTCGCTAGGTATCTAATGGTCAGGTGTTCAGTCTCTACTGGGGCCCAGTAGTAAGTGAAGAGTTGCTTTTTAAATCAGAAGATAGATGTATCTGTGTTTGCTTTGGTAGCATATATGCTAACATTGGACTGATGCATTGAGGATTGGCAAGGCCTCTACACAAGGATGACATACAAATTCATGAAGTGTTGCATATTTTTGGGACAGGAAAATTGGGCAGGTGGGCACAGGGAACCCAGGGTGGAAAGGGAGAGAAGAGTGCTGACACTTGGCAGGGATTGCAATCAATGTCACAAAACAATTTGTGTATAAAATTTTTGAAGGAAAAATTAATTTGCACTGTAAAATTTAAAAAAAATTAAAAAAGGGGCTTACTACTTTAGGTTGGTTGTTGAGACATCCCACTTCGAGCCTACTGACTGGAAGGCCTGCTGGGCTTCAAGAAAACCGAACCAACATTTTCCATGAACCAGAGCTTTGTTCTGTTTCAATTGTTCCTGCCAGGTAGTATTTACTGTTAATAAACATAATTCCAAAACCATTCAATAAATCTGTAACTTGAACAACAATAAAAGAGAAGAAGATAGATATATCTGCAGAAGCAAGCATTGTCTACTTCAAAATCCTAAGGAACTTTGTCAGAGGGTACATAAGTCACCTCTATTTCCCACAGATAACTTCCAATACCTTTGGGTTTATGGGTGACAAGATGCAAGTAGCAGGACAACTTGATCCTGCTGCCAAGACTTCTCTTACTCCAGACCCCATTTAGAATTTTAAACTAACCAGAAAATTAGCCAGAACAACATATCTAAATGTGACATATGTTATCTCCCCAAATACAAAGGGAGTCACCAAATATTGTGCCTCTGTGTATTGGTTGGTTTTATGGATTGAATTGTGTTGCCCCAAATTATGTGTCAACTTGGCTAGGTCATGATTCCCAGTATTGTGTGGCTGTCCTCAATTTTGTGATCTGATATAATTACCCTATGTCTTGTAAATCCAAGCCTCTATGCCTATGACTGTGATCTTATTTGGGTGTGAGCTGTCTGGTATGTTAATGAGGCAGAACACAATCTACAGGATTAGGTTGTATCTTGTGTCAATTACTTTTGAGATATAAAAGAGGGAAGAGAAAAAAGAGGAGAGGGTCCTCCTACCACCATGAAAGAAGAGCTGGGAGGGGAGCACAACCTTTGGACCCAGGGTTCCTGAGCTGAGAAACCCCTAGACCAAGGGGAAGACTGATGACGAGGACCTTCCCTGAGAGCCGACAGAGAGACAAGGCCTTCCCCTGGAGCTGGTGCCATAAATTAGGACTTCTAATCTCTTAAACTGTGAAAGAATAAACTTCTGTTTTTTAAAGCCATTCACTTGTGGTATTTCTGTTACAGCAACACTAGATAATTAGACATTTGGGTAGTACAAGATGCAGACACATGTTTCCCACTTTAGAATGGGGTGTTTTGACCTGCCTCATACCCGTGAACCACTAGAAATGTCAACAATACGGCAGGCCCTTCCTTTACTGGGTTTATCACTCACTTTCTGGCTTATGTGTGTCTTATTTAGGCATACAGACTGCTGGCAAGAAATAACCAGGTCCAGTTAGGAAAATTGTCCTCAAAGTAATGAACCAGTTTGGTCTCCTCGAGGATATCAAGACCCTCCAGATAACGAACTGGAGAGTTTACACAGTCCTGCACTTAGTGAGGGTAAAGTGTTGTCTTGGTCTCTTGAAGGCAAACTGTTTTTGACTATTTTGTTGATATGGACTGAAAAGAAAATTAGCTTGGTCAATATCTGTGTATCAAGTACCAGAGACTGTGTTGATTTGTGCTAGTAGATCTCATATCTGGAACCACAGCCACAATAGGTATCACCACACAACTAAATTTACAACTATCTATACCATATTTTTACTCAAATGACCCATGCCTTCTATATTTTTTTGCTGACCATGCCCGCTCCCTGCCCCCAACAAGATATTTTCATAAGCGCCACTTTACATGTTGTTGTAAAAAAAATTAGCATAGTGCACTTACGAAAATATCTTGAGGTGGGGGAAGGTGTAGACACCACGATTGGCAAACAAACATAGAAGGCATGCGTTATTTGCCTAAAAATATGGTAGTCACTCTCTAAGACTCTTCTGCGTTTTGTATCATACTCACAGGCAAGTTAAATGGGGCAAAAATCTCCCACTCCTACATCTTTGAAACATTTGATGGTAGAATTAATCTCTGCAATACCCCAAAGAAAGGGATATTATTTTTGGTTTACTATCCTGGAGGATGGGGATAGGGAAGTTCCAGGAGTGCAACTTGACTTTCCTACCATAATAAACTCTACTTTGAGGATAAGAACCAATGTAAGGATTCTGCCAATTATTAAGTATTGATGTTTCTTCTAATACATGTATCTTATCTTTCTTCCATAAACGGAGTAGAAAAAAAAAAAACAGGATAGTCATTGGTTCTTGGGCTTCCAGGCCTAGCCTCAGTCATCCAAAAGTAGTAGATACCTAGTACTGCAAACCAATTAGATACCATCTAAGTGTTAATCCTAGACTGCTTTTCCTGGTAATATTAGCCTACTTTGAATTAAAAAAAAAAAAAAGACAAAAGAAAAGATTTTTCTGAGTTCAAGTTCCAAAAGAATGGCATATAACCATTGGAATCATGTTAGAAAAATAAGCCAGATTATTTGGAGAAATTTCTAAATGTTTCAGTTGAGAGAAAAAAATAAAGCATGAAGCATAAATACAATCCATTTACCAGCAGTGAAGGTTTCTGAGAGTGACTTTTTGTTCGTTTGGATTCCTAGCATAGCCAGATATCTTGCCTCAGATACTGCCTTTGATAAAATTAGTAATGGAATAGATATTGTATTTTTCTTTGGTATGGCATAAAATGGTTCATTTCAGAGTAGATAGGAAGTGTGAATCTTGTCTTAAAGCACGGACATCCACACGTATTTTATAAAACGTTATAAAGAGTCAAGTTTTCCCTGGAGGATAATTCAGAAGTGGATGTATTTTCTCATCTTATGTTGCTATGCTGCTGCCCCAAGACAAATCTGGGCAGTGCTTCCAACGTTATTTCATCTGCACTTGGCTTGCATGTGGTATTCTCTGAAAGTCTCTAATAAATTCAATCTGGACTACTAATTTTATCCTTTAATTTTTAAACTTTATTTGCTTTCATAAACACAAAAATGTTCTCCCAATAACATAGTTTTAAGTTCTCTAGGATATGAACATGCTTTATTTTTCTTATTTTTTCCCACTCTACCTTGTATAATCGGGGCTCTTTATAAGCCAATGAATTATTGTGTTTTGTAGAAAAGGAAAGATAGTATAAATGTTCTTTAGACAACAGCTCCAATTCTAATATTCTATCTTAAGATGATATGTTATTAGCTCAACTCATTGACTCCTAATACAGAAAACATCCACACTGGCAAAACAAAGATTATGAACATTGCCGATTGGTATGAAGAATAATCCTTCATTCTAAAACGTTTATTAAATCCTTAACACGTGACTATGATGACAACCATAAGCATATCGGCCTTTTTCCAACATAAACCTTTAAATAGAAAAATGGGAAAGAAAGAAATTATTACAGAAAAAATAAATAAATGCTATTGTGGTAACTGCTTCATAGCAGAAGCCCTTATGAGAGCTTGTAAAACAGGAACTTAACCTAGTTGGGGTGTCGGGGCGGGGGGCTTTCCTGTTGGAGAGAGTTTCAGATTGACACCTGAAACACAAGTCTAAGATTGGCGAGATGGTATATGTGAGTGTCTCACACACACATGCACGTGAGTGTATATAGGAAGGAAAATATTTAAGGGAGAGGGACATTATGCAAAAATAATGAGAAATATTGAGTAAGGACAGTGTGGACGTGTAGTGGGGTTGTTAACCATTGTCACAGAGCAACATGTGTAGTAACTGTTTAATGAGAAATTATTTTGTTCTGTAAACCTTCATCTGAAGTGAGAATAGCAGCACAACGGGAAGAGCGTAGTCGGTGTCACTGAACTATGCATATAGAAATTTTTGAAATGGTGTATCTTCGGCTATGTACGTTTTCACCAAAAAAAAAAAAAAAGGTTGAGAAAGGAGAGGGTTGACATGTCATGGGGTTGTTAACCAATGTCATAAAACAATATGTGTACTACTGTTTAATGAGAAACTATTTGTTCTGTAAACCTTCACCTGAAGTACAATTAAAAAAGAAGAGAGAGAAAAATAAAATATAACACGATATATAATAGAGAAAACAAAACAAACCAAAAGGCTGAAGTAGTGGAAGCATAAAGAATAAGGCGGAAAGTGTTAGAAATGAGAAGAGAAATATTGAGCCAACGTAGGGAATTTGGATTGGACTGGATTCCAAAAGCCGTGGAAAGATGTTCAAGTATGTTAAGCATGGGATTTGACATAATTAAATTTGCAACTTGAAAAAATCACAGTGTGTGAGATTGCATTGTATTTTCCATGGAAATAGCAGATCATTAACAGAGAAGCTAAGGAGCCCTGGTGGTACAATGGTTAAGTGCTTGGCTGCTAACTAGAAGGTTAGTAGTTCAACTCACCCCGTGGCTCTGTGGGAAAAAGACCAGGCAATTTGCTCCAGTAAATATTACAGCCTAGAAAACCCTATGGGGCAGTTTTACTATGTCACATGGGGTTACCAGGAGTCAAAATCGACTTGGCAGCATGTAACAGCAACAATAGAGAAGCTAAAGTGAGCCAACAGTAGGTAGTGTTCCAGTCAGGAATGGAAAGGTGTCTAGTGAATGCCTGGGGTTCAACTGTGAGTGAAGGGTGAGAGAAGTAGTCAGATTAAAAGCAGGATGGGGTGGTGGTGCGGAGAGGTAGATGTACAAATATTACTTACTATCTGTAGAGATGGGGAACAGGGCAAGATGAACCAAAAATGTCAAGTGTTAAGCTAGTTTTAGAAATTTACACTTATGTCATTTCAAATGAACCACTGTGTTCATTATTTTAATTAATAATTGTTGAGTATGCTCTGTGTATACTGTGTAGGGCTAAGCCCTGAAAACACCTGTATATAGTAAATATCATATGTATATATGTATTTATATATATAGATAGATACATATCTATCTATCTATCTATCTATCTATCTATCTATCTAACTATCTATGAGCCTCAATTCCT